GTGCTGCGGGGACTTCGTGGGGGACCCAGCGCGGAGCGGCCCTGACTCCTGGGTTCAAGCCCCTGCGTCTTAGAGGGGCGCCGGCGGAACGCCTGGCTCTGCCGAGCGCGCCGGGGGGCCGCCCTGCCGGGCCCAGCCTGGCGGTGAAAGCACCTGTGGACGTTATTGTTCGTGGAATGCCGCTCACGTGTGGCCGCCTGAATATCTGCCCCCGGGGGCGGGACGAGCGGAGAGCTTAGTTTACGTTATCTGACCTCATGTTTCAGGGTGAAAGGTTGAGGGAATTCAGAGTAATATGTTTCCATCTCACTTCCAACGCCACCATTAAAGAGAAAATTAAAGACCACCTTCCCCCATCCCCCCCCCGTTCCCTGGCCGTGCGGCTCAGTTGATCGGGCCTGGACTGCGCCAAACCCCAACCAGCACCCCACCAAACCCCTGTGGTGGGTGTGCGACTGGTGAGTTTGACCTCGCAGGGAACAATTTAGGTGATCAATGCGGTGACCAAGAATGAAACAGTCTAGAGCGAGCTTGGAGTGCATCCTTTAGGAACATCTTGGAAAGCGTACAGCAGGAGGGGAGGTGAAAAGTCGCGGTTTGTTGAAGAGCTCCCCGAGGCCCGGGTTGGCCGGAGAGAGCACCCCCGCGCCCTGCCCGCCCTTGCCCAGGGAGGCGCCTGTGGGCGCCGACCCCTGGGCTGCCCGCGGTCCCGGAGAGCACGGGGCTGTGCTGGTCGTGGGGTGGCCGCCCAGCCCTTGGCCCCACAGGAGCCAATCGACTTGACTGGGCGGCCTGAGAGCATGGCCTGCGGCGGGACGGGACACCTGCCTCTGCCGCCTCTTGTTGCGCACATGGGCGCTCTTAGCAGCGGTATCGGTTCGGCTCCGAGCCGGGTACCCAGGTCCTTGATTTCAGTCGGGAGAGGTTTTGTGAACTGCAGATAGATTAGTGGTCAAGTCCTCAATGACTAACCCTGTTTCCTCAGCCCAGCTTAATTTTTTCTCATGAGACCTGACTTACGTTCTGTTTTTATAGATCATCTTCAAGAAAGCAATGGATGTTTGGTTTCAGAGACCAAAGGCCCTGGGACCGTGCAGGACGCAGCGTGGCGGCCGCGGAGTCCTGGAGAACGTGGCGACCGCGACAGTGCAAGACCGCCGGCTCCTGTGGGGCGGTCCCCAGACACAGAATCTGCAGCCACGCCTCCGTCTAGTTACTCCAGAGGACACGCTGAGCCGTCAGGAAATGACAGCCACGAACCTCGAACAGGAGAATGGGGGTGCCAAGCGGGACGAGGGACCCCCGCTGAAGCAGCTCCGAGGTTTGCAGAGAAGCTGCCCCTGGACAGAGGTGAGGAAGAAGTGAGCCTCGCGCAGCTGGACAGACAGGACTCCACTGACCAGGAGGGCTGGGAGGTGGTGTCCAGGCACTCATCCTGGGGGGAGGTCGGGTTGGGTGGCAGTCTTGAGGCTCCACCGTTAAGCCCGAGCCAGGGAACGAACTGTGGCAGAAACACTGTCGCGGAAGCAAGAGGCCAGGAACTGGATGTTAAAACAGAAGGGGCGGTGGCCGTGGCCGCGGAGCCTCAGCAGGTCCGCGTCCGGTTCCAGGTCCACTACATCACACGCACCGGCGCGCAGCTCCTGGCAGTAACTGGAGACCACGAGAGGCTGGGGCGGTGGGCCGCCCACGTCCCCCTCCGGCGCAGCAGGCAGGGCCTCTGGGCGCGCTCCGTCTCCCTGCCCGCCGGCGCCCTGGTGCAGTGGAAGTTCGTGGTGGTGGAGAACGGGCGGGTGACGCGCTGGGAAGAGTGCAGCAACAGGCTGCTGGCCACTGGCCGCGAGGATCAGTTGGTTCACAAGTGCTGGGGGGTCCACTGATTCGCTTTGAGGGTGCTGAGGCTGTTGCAGGAAGGGGAAGGGGCTGAGGCTGTGGAGCACACCGTGTGGGGAGCCGGCGGGACTCCCCCCGGGGAGGACCCGCCGGGCGAGGTGCTGCCCTGGGAAAAAGACCCGGGAGGCCCGCTTGCCCTAGTGTCATCGAGAGAGAAATCTCTGAGGCATTGACCCGAGTGGTGGGCAGCGGTGTGAGCACTCGCCCTGCTCCCCCCCCCGCTCCCCCTCCTGAAGGGCTTAGCTTAGCGTAATATTAACAATGCTTGTATGAGGAGTAGCTCAGCATGAGGCCAATATTAACAATGCTTGTATGAGAAAGTACCTTGATCCAGGAACCGTGGCCGGGTTAGAAGTGCAGCATGTCCCAGCTACCAATGATGTATGTACGAGAACAAGGAACAGGGCTACCAATGATGTATGCATGAGAACAAAGAGCTAGGTGGGGAACATACATGGGACAAAGGTTACTGATTTAACCGCTGCCTTACTGAATGCGCTATAATTACAAGCTGAAAAATAAACTCGGGGCTCAGTCACGTACTGAAGCCCTCCCGATCCCATCCTGTCTCTTGTCTTTCTTTTCCAATCCTCACCCCCTCAATCAGGTTACTGCTCGACTGCCGGCAGGCTCCGGCAAGTGGCGCCCGAACAGGGACCTGAAAACCTGGGAACACGGTAGAGGACACCGCTCGGGGACGCGCGCAGTGCTATCGGGTAAGTGACGGGATAGCAGGGAGAGCGGTTAGAGTATCGGGAGTAAGAAATTATGGGACAGGAAAATAGTAAGGTGCTGTTTGCACAGGTCTTGAAGACAATGCTCCGTTCTAGGGACGCTAAGGTTAGTACCACCCAGCTGCGCAATTTTTTGCAGTTTGTGGAGGAGGTGTGCCCCTGGTTTCCAGAGGAGGGCACGGTTAACCTGGAAACATGGAATAAGGTTGGGGAGCGGTTACAGGGATTTTTTCAGGCACACGGCCCTCAGAAGGTGCCTGTGGAAACCTTCTCCCTTTGGACATTGGTCCGTGATTGCCTTGACCCCCGGCATGAGGGCGTGCGCATGGGACCGCCTGTTGCGGAGGGCAATTCTGCGGAGGCACCGGCGGGGCCCTCCGCGGGGATGCCATTGGAAGACAAGGCCACGGCACCCCCGGTAGAGCTGCTCAGTGTCCGGTCAGACAAATTAAGTCCCAAGGAGGAACAAGATTTAGATGAGGCTGCGGCAGCTTATGAGAGGGAACGGTATAGGGAACTGGTGTTCCTCTCGCAGGAATGTACAGATAAGCACAACCCCTTGCCCCCTGATCTCACCATTGAAGAGCTACAGAAACAAATGCAAGTCTTAATGAGCCAAGTGCGGACCCTACATGAGGACATGAGGGAAAAAAGGCCTGAGGATTTGCAGAGTCCGGGTTGCTCTGCCCCTGGGCCTCCCGTAGGGAGTCCTTCCGCGGCAGACCCCCCGCTCATAAACCTAAGAGAGGATCCCCCGGGATACCCTGGCGGGGAGGCGGGTGTCCCGGTTGGGGGAGTTGGAGCAGGAGTGGGGATGCCGGTGGGGGTCCGGGTTCTTGATCCCCGGGAAAGGACCATGATTGCCCTGGCACAGAGGGGTCCAGGTCAGGCTAGCGACCCCGGATGGGGAAAGGTGCGCACAGACTCTGCACAAATGTCCCCATTCCAGATGGCACTTAATCAGGCTCAGTTGCGCGGGGAGGATATGAGTGGGTTTGACTCTGACTCTATGATATGCTGCCCGGTGTTTGAACAGCCTGCTCAGGGCGACAATCCTCCGCAAAGAATTTATGGCCCCATGGATTTTAAAAAGTTGAAAGAGCTTAAGATGGCTTGCGCACAATATGGACCCACTGCCCCATATACCGAAGCTATTTTGGAGGCTTTGGACACTGAATATACCATGTGTCCTAATGATTGGAAACAACTGGCTCGCGCTTGCCTGTCCGGAGGGGATTATTTACTGTGGAAATCAGAATATACAGAACAATGTGAGAGGGTCCATCGACTGAATGTGAGGAATAACATACCCTCTGACCTTCAGGGTCTGCTGGGGGAAGGGCCGTATGCGGACACCCCGGCTCAGTTACAATTTGGGGTAGGGACCTATGCCCAGGTCTCTGCCGCGGCCAGGAAGGCCTGGAAGAAATTACCTACTACTAAAAATATAACTATGGATCTGACCAAGATTAGACAGGGCCCTGATGAGCTCTATCAGGAGTTTGTCTCCCGGCTCCTTGATGCCGCAGGGAAGCTGTTAGGGGATGGGGAGGCTGGAATAATCATTGTGAAGCAATTAGCTTTTGAAAATGCCAATACTGCGTGTCAGGCAGCCCTGCGGCCCTATCGCCACAAGGGGTCCCTCAATGATTACATTAGGCTTTGCCAAGATATTGGGCCCTCCTATACGACTGGAGTCACCCTCGCTGCTGCCCTGCGGGGACAAACAATGCAGCAATTTCTGCAGCAACAGGGAAAGGGGCGCGGCAAGGGACGACGAGTCCCTGGGCCCCCCCGGCAGTTGTTTTTCCTGCGGCCAATTGGGCCATTTCACCAGATATTGCCCGCAGAGGCCTCCTTCTGCCACTCCAGGGGCTCCTGCGGGGCCTCCCCGTGGGGCGCCTCCAGGGCTCTGCCCGAGATGTAAAAAGGGGAATCACTGGGCCCGTGATTGTAAGTCCAAGCTTGATCTGCAAGGGCGGCCTCTTAGCTTTCCCTCTCAGTCGGGAAACTGGCAGAGGGGCCGGCCCCAGGCCCCGCAAACATATGGGGCTCTACAGGGGGAAACCTGGGGGAAGCCCCCCGGAAACAATCCATTTGTGACCTCTTCCGAGCCACCCCAGGGAGCGCCGGACTGGACCTCAGTTCCGCCGCCTACACAGTACTGACCCCGGCCATGGGAATGCAGGCTCTGCCTACTGGGGTCTACGGTCCCCTGCCCGCAGGAACGGTGGGACTCCTCTTAGGACGCAGCAGTAGTACCCTGAAAGGATTGTTAGTGGCCCCTGGAGTCATAGATCAGGATTATACCGGAGAGGTGAAGGTTATGGCTCATGCTCCTCACAATGTGGTGACAGTAGATAAAAGTCAGAGAATTGCCCAGCTTATTTTGTTGCCGCTGGTAGAACAGGGAAAAGTCATGACGAATAAGGCTCGCGGGTCCCAAGGATTTGGATCTTCCGATGCTTACTGGATGCAGCCCATTAAGAAGGATCGGCCAGAGATGACACTTTGGATCAATGAGAAGGCCTTTAAAGGTATACTAGATACTGGGGCGGATGTCTCAGTTATCTCCTTAAAGCATTGGCCTGCCAGCTGGCCTATTCAGACTGCACTGACCGACCTACAAGGTATAGGTCAGAGCAAAACCCCCAAAATCAGCTCTGCTGTTTTACGTTGGCATGACAATGAGGGACATCAAGGAGAGTTTCAGCCCTATGTCTTATCAGATTTACCAGTAAATCTGTGGGGGAGGGATGTCATGGAGCACATGGGGGTGTATCTCCACAGCTCGAGTCCGGCGGTTACACAACAACTACTTAATCAAGGGCTGCTACCAGATCAAGGATTAGGAAGAGAAGGGCAGGGCATTACTAAACCCTTACAACCCCTGCCCCGGCCAGGGCGCGCCGGCCTGGGGTATTTTTAGGAGGGGCCTTTGACTCTCCTGCTACCCATGCCGATAAAATTACCTGGAAGTCAGATCTTCCTGTATGGGTAGATCAATGGCCCCTGACTACTGAAAAAATAAAGGCTGCCCAGGAGCTGGTGCAGGAGCAGCTCCAACAAGGCCACATTGAGCCGTCTAATTCTCCCTGGAATTCACCTATATTTGTGATCAAGAAGAAGTCAGGGAAATGGAGATTACTCCAGGATCTTAGGAAGGTGAATGAGACCATGGAGCTCATGGGGGCCCTCCAGCCAGGCTTGCCTTCACCTGCGGCCATACCCCGTGATACATATAAGATTATTATTGACCTGAAAGACTGTTTTTATACCATTCCCCTTGATCCCCGGGACTGTCCACGGTTTGCCTTTAGCGTACCATCAGTAAATTTTCAGGAGCCTATGCAGCGATATCACTGGAAAGTGCTGCCTCAGGGAATGGCCAATAGCCCGACCCTGTGTCAAAAATTTGTGGCAACGGCCCTAGCTCGGGTAAGGCGTGAGTACCCAGCAGTGTACGTCTGTCACTACATGGATGACATCCTCATTGCCGCTCACCATGAGGGACTGCTCCTCCGGGCATTTGCGAAAATGGAATCTGACTTGCAAAAACAAGGCCTGGTCGTAGCCCCAGAAAAGGTCCAGAGGCAGCCCCCGTTTTCTTATCTTGGTTTTCATCTGGAGCCTGACCGATTTTTCTGTCAGAAAGTTCACCTTCGGCTAGACAAGCTCCAGACCTTGAATGATTTTCAAAAGTTGCTGGGGGATATCAACTGGATTAGACCTTATCTGGGGTTAACTACAGGGGAGCTCAAACCATTGTTTGACATTCTCAAGGGGGATGCAGATCCTGCATCCGCTAGACAGCTGACCCCGGAGGGACGTGTAGCCCTTGGGAGGGTGGAGCAAGCTATCCGCAGGCAGCAGGCAACATTTTGTGACTATAGTAGACCTTGGCAGGCCTGCATTTTGGCCACGGGCCATTCCCCTACTGCTGTTTTATGGCAAGACCGGCCACTACGGTGGGTGCACCTCCCTGCTTCCCCTGCCCGGGTCCTTGCCCCTTATTATGAACTTGTTGCTGTCCTTATTCAACAGGCTCGGGAAGAGTCCCGCCGCTACTTTGGCAGGGACCCTGCAAGCATTCTGGTGCCATATACACGAGAACAGGTCACCTGGTTATTCCAAACTTGTGATCCCTGGGGAATAGCCTTGGCTGGCTTTCCTGGAAAAATTGATAATCATTATCCCCAAGACAAGCTTCTGCAATTCTTTCTGAAACATTCGATTATCTTTCCAAGGATGGTATCTGCTACTCCACTGCCCGGAGCCGCTACTGTGTTCACTGACGGGTCGTCCTCTGGCATTGCAGCCTATGTGCGTGGGCACCAGGTTACACGGTGGGAGACCCCATATTCCTCTGCCCAGGAGGTAGAGTTAGCAGCAGTACACCGGGTACTTTTAGATGTGGCCAATGAACCTCTAAATATTTTCTCTGATAGTCAATATGTAGTCAGAAGCCTCTCTGTTATTGAGACTGTCCCGTTCATTGGCACTACTAATTCCACTGTGCAACAACTGTTTATAGCCATCCAAGCTGCCATCCTGAATCGTACCCAACAATGCTACTTTGGGCATCTTAGGGCCCATAGCAACTTACCTGGGCCCTTATCCCATGGAAACTGCCAAGCTGATTTGGCCACTAAAGTGTATTTAGTTGGGGTGCCTGCAGCTCGGGCGGCTCATGCTCTCCACCATCAAAATGCCCAGTCTCTTCGGCTGCAGTTTAACATTCCCCGAGAGGCCGCCAGACAGATAGTAAAGGAATGTCACACATGTCCTACTTTAACCAGCGTGCCTAGCTATGGAGTCAATCCTCGAGGTCTCCTGCCCAATCATCTGTGGCAGATGGATGTAACACATGTGCCTAGTTTTGGTAAGCAACGGTATGTTCATGTTACTATTGACACCTACTCAGGGTTTCTTGTTGCCTCTGCCCTCACAGGGGAATCCAGTTCCCACGTCATTGCCCATTGCTTGCGCAGCATGTCTGTCCTAGGACAGCCCCGGGTTATTAAAACAGATAATGGACCGGGCTACACAGGCAAAAAGTTTCAAGCCTTTTGTATGCAATTGGGCATTCAGAGTAAGACAGGCATTCCTTATAACCCTCAAGGACAGGGTATTGTTGAACGAGCCCATGGCACGCTAAAAAATCAATTGCAAAAAATTAAAAAGGGGGAGCTGTACCCCTTAATCCCGCAAAATCAACTTAACCATGCTTTATTTATTCTTAATTTCTTAATTTTGGACGAGAAAGGTCGTTCTGCTGCGCAAAGGTTTTGGCAGCAGGCTGTTCCCCAAGATAAAGCCATGGTCAGGTGGAAGGACCCCCTTGAGGGTACGTGGCACGGGCCAGATCCGGTATTAATCTGGGGAAGAGGGCATGTTTGTGTTTTCCCGCAGGATGCCGAGACGCCGAGGTGGCTCCCGGAGAGGCTGGTACGACACGCGGCCCAAGACGCTAGAGGAACGGATGCAGGAGCTAACAATGAACCCTGAGCGTCAGTCGCGAAGAGCCCGGCGAAGAGCCTGGCGGGCACAACAACGCGCAGAGCAACTCATCAGAGGGCAAGGCATGACTGTCACGCCCGAAACTCTATTCCTGGCAATGCTGGCTCTGCTTGCCGCGGCCCCTGGGGCTAGAGCAGAAACTCACTGGGCCTACCTGCCTAACCCACCTCTGCTGCAGCCAGTGACGTGGCAGCATGGAGAGGTACCTGTGTACACCAACGACACATGGACCATGGGGGGCCATTCCAGCAGGCACCTGCGAGCAGCGCGTGCTCCGGACTTTTCTTATTCAGGACACACTAGTGACCAGCCTATTTGTTTCTCACGAACTGACCAGGTAGCCGGTTGTTTTCTGCTTAAAACTACTAAGACTGAGTCGCTCCTGCCAACTGCGACAGGGGTTTTTTATGTCAATGGAACGGCGAGGACCTGGGTTCAATCAGCTCTGAACTGGACGCGATGGTACGTGGACATCTGGTACCCTACTGGGAATGCCGCAGGCCATCCTTCTGGAGCCCCCCCNCTGGACGCGGTGGTACGTGGACATCTGGTACCCTACTGGGAATGCCGCAGGCCATCCTTCTGGAGCCCCCCCTGGGGAGATCTCCATATGTGAGGCTGACGTTGTCAACCGTACCCAGCAGCCGCATTGGTTGAGCTGCCGGGGGAAAAATAGTATATTGATTAATGTGACAGGGGGATACCCGCTACAGGACTGGTCAGCTAAGGGCCCAAAATGGAAGGCGCTGGCCGAGTCCTTTTGGTCAGTACAGAAAGGGCCAATGCAATCTCAGCTATGGAGGCTTACGGCAGCAATGGGAGGGGACATCATAATGAATGAGAAACGGGGCAATGCAACTGTACAAATGGGCACCACACAATTCTACCGAAAGGTGCAGGCCTGCGTTCCCGAGCCTTATGCTCTTCTTGTGGGGTCACTTAATATTTCACGGAGTGGATCCTGGTGGACTATTGCATGCCATAACTGTACCCTTAGCACTTGTGTATATAACATATCTCAGGATGAGCA